GCCCCGCCCCCCCCCCCCATCCCAGCCTCCAGGAGATATGTTTCCCTCCCTGAGCTGCTGCTAGGCCCTGGAAGGACAGAGAAGTGGCAGCCCTTCCGGAGTGAACATGGCCTGGGGTAGGGTAGCTGGTACAAGAGCCAACTCTGCCTGCCTCTCCCTTTCAAGGATCTATCTCCATCATCTGTCCTGAACTTGACCCAGGTCTCCCTACTTGGGAATGACAAGGGGCAGGGGCAAGCAGGCCCTAGGTCTCTTGAAGCCCACACAGTTGCCTGGGCAGAACCAGATGCTGAAAATGTCAACCTCTCAGCCTTCTTATGATCCCTACAGTTCCCAGGGGTCTTGTTCAGATCCCCACCGTGACTCATCTGTAAATTATCATGGTTTTCTGCATTAAAGCATTTGTTTCTGGACTTCTGGCATCTGGAGGGACACTAGTAAGGACTTGGCTAGACTCCAAGAATCTGGGCCAAGCAAGGGAAGAGCCAGCATTACTTCCTCCAGTCCTTTCTAGCACTCAGCTAAGGGGTGGGAAAGAGCGTCTCTACCTGGCATGACAGCAGGCAAGAGTGATTTCTGGAACCAGTCTGCTGGGTTTTCGGGCGACCAGAGCAGAAATGCTAAGGTGAGAATATCCAAAGTCTTGAATGGTAGCAGCTGGCCTGGGGGGAATCTGGATGTTTAGCTTCTATCTGTAAATGTACCAGGTGTCATGGCAACAGCTTGGGTGGACACTGGCAGCTGGGGCCCTTCAAGGTCACAGTACTCCAGTGGAGCCCAGCACTCCAGAGAGGGTGCTAATGGAGGACCCGAGAGAAAGACATGCCTGGGGATACAGATGATGCCAGAGCTGGTAAGAAGGGGTCCCAAGGTCACCTGTAGGGCCAGGTGGCCATGGACATAACATCATAGTGCCCTCCTTGTTCCTTTCAGTCACCTTGGGACCAAGGGCAGTGTTAGCCACTGTGCAGTGGCTTGATGTGCAGCCTCCTGGGGCTTCATGTTACCATCCTATAGATAAGTTCACAGAGGTGAGCCCAGAGAGGTTGGGTTAGGGTCCCAAGGGAATTGTCCCATGCCCAGAGGTCCTGGCTACCATCTATGTGGGTGGAGTTAAAGCAGGCACCCTCCTACCACCTCAAGACACGGCCATCCCTCTAGTTGTCTGGAGGGGGAGGTGTGGACAGGTGGGCTTGGGGAGTGAGGGCCCTGTATCCCTCCCCCACAAAACCCAAGTCCTCTCTCCTCTCTTGTCATCATACAGCCTGGCCAGGAGCTCCAGGCCAAAGCCATCTTTCCAGTGCCTGACCCTTGACCTATGCAGAGGCAGGTGAGGGCAGAGTGAGCTTTCCTGGTAGTGACCAGAACATGCTGTCCCTGCTTCTGCCCACATGACCATTCTCTGCCTCTCACAGGAAGGGGTGGTCTAAGAGAATTTGGGGCAGTGACTGCGCAGCAGCTGGAAGAGGTATGAGGACAAAGATACCTAGAGTACTTTTGTCAGTGCTGGCAGAACCCCCTAGGCAGCAGATGACCAGACAGGGCAGCAAGAGGAACTCAGGACTGGGAGGAGTCCCAAGCAGATTGTGGATTCTAGTTTTGAGGGGGTGGGGTCTGGAGGGGAGGGCAGCCCCCCCAGTGGCCACCAACTAGTACCAGGCAGAAGCATTTCCAGAGCTAGAGGCTGGGCTTAGTGCTTGCCCAGCCTCAGGCACCTGCTCCTCCCTGCCTCTGGGCTGAGCAGTAAACCATGTGAGGGCAGTGAAAAAGTCAGCCAGAGCTGAGGGACAGCCAGCAGTCAGGATACACCAGGACCAAAGGGCAATGCCCCTAGTTCTTGGTATCATGTGGTCTTGGGCCCCCTTCCCCTGCAAAAAACCCAGCTTTCTCACCAGCACTTCTTTAGAAATCCCTTTTCCAGTGTCAAGAGTTTGCATTAATTCCTGTGTTCCCATGTTCACTCTACTTTGGAACATCTTTGCTAAAGTGTGTGTGTGTGTGTGTGTGTGTGAGAAACCAAAATAGTGAACCTAGAGACTTTCATCCCAGTCCAAGTTCAACCTCATGAACTACATAGATTTACCTCTGCCCACCTGGCAACTTTGAACATCATCTTTTCCCTTGTGCCCCTTTTCTGGACTGGACATCCCTGGTCCTTTGGACCATCCCTTTGAGAACATACCCATGAGGATCCCTCCAGTCACCTGGGCAGGGTGTCCTGCTTCTGGGTCCCTCCCAATTTTTTTTCTAAAGAGAGGGCTTGGATTAGCCTGATACACATGGGACCAGGCCTGTGGGGACTATACACCACCCATCACCTCCCTCATTTGAGGACATAAGCCTGTTGTTAATCCAGCTCATTTCTTTCAAAAGATGTCTTATAGAACCTCAATTATATGTATTTTGAAGATTTTCAGTCCTTCCAGCCCTTTCCATTATCTACACTGACATAGTCATAACTATACCTTTGAAAAAGTGTTAATGGGCTGGGCGTGGTGGTGCACACCTTTAATCCCAGCACTTGGGAGGCAGAGGCAGGCAGATCTCTGTGAGTTCCAGGACAGCTGGGGCTACAGGGAGACCCTGTCTCAAAAAGACCAAAAAAAAAAGAAAGAAAAAGTGTAAATGCCATTCAAAGTGTAAAGTCATAGTCCTGAAGCACATCATTAGGGATGTTGCTCCCTTAATCACAATGGCAGGGCGCCCATGAAACAGTTTGTGTGTCTGTGTGTAAGCCCTCTTCTGATGAGCCCACAGCTTTCTAGGGAGTCTCCCTAAGAGGAGGATACCGATAATGGAGAAATTTAAGCTCCTTATTTTCAGGTTGGGACAGTGAGGCCCAGAGAGGAGAGCTGACCCTCCCCCGCCCCCCACTATACTGCTCCCCTGCCACTGTACTGCTTCTCCAGGCTGTGACAGGGCCTTTCTCAGCACATGTGTCTCTCACAGGGGACTGTCTTACATATCCCTTGCCAAAGCCATTCCTCCAGGCCCTTTGTCTGATGCTCCCACAAGCTGCAACCAGGGACGGTTGTGCCCAGTTGGCAGCAAGCAGGGGAACTAGCTTAGGCCCACCTCCCTGCCAGAGCAAAGGTCTGGGTTCCGAAATGGTCTGTCTTTATTATGCCATCAGAAAACAAATGTGCTGGTTAAGTTATGCATCATTATCTTCTTAGTAACAAAATAAAGGACTATGTTTACAGTCATAAAAAGAAACAGTCTGGAGAGAAGTCAGGCCATGGGGAGGGGGAGGCACCTGGCCCGGTGGAGTTGGGATCACCTCCCTGGTCCTAGGCTGTTCTAGATCTTTGGCTAATGGGCTTTGATTTTCTTGGGAAACAACTGGAAAGCTGATCAAGAGTGAAGTCTGTTCCCTAGGACAGGATGGAAGAAAGCAGGCAGAACCAGAACCACCCACCCTCTGCTCTGAAAGATGGAGACCAACTGCCATGGGAGTTCCCTCTGAAGGCTCTGTCACTGATAGAAAGAGGGAGCCATCAGTCCTCTGGCCCACACGCCTGGGACTCAGGCTGGGACACCAGAGCAAAACCCCTTGGAGACTGAGGCACATTCTCATGCTGTTGGAGCTAAAAATGACTCCATGGGAACTGGCTGGGATGAAGGGGTGGGGGTGGGAGGGAGGTCAGCAAGGGATCAGGAAGCTGCCAGGCCCAGGGGCAGGCTAGGCCCTAGAGAGACTCAGAGAATCCAGTGGGTGTGGTGGGGCTGGGACCAACGAAGGAATGGAGAGACGGCCTCGCAGAGGCAAGGACAGAAAAATGTACATGGGGACAAGACACACAGAACCTGAGACACCAGACTGACAAAGAGGTAGCAGTTGGGGACAAAGAAAGCACAGAAGAGGCCCCCGAGAAGCATCAAGAGACATCACAGAACTCATCAACATGCCTGTCACAGTGGCACTCAGCAGATACCTTCTGCCAGGAGCAACTAGACGAAAATGTGTGCAGGCGCACATAGCAGCTAGAGGCACATGACAGGAGACAAACACAGGACAACCAGACCCTTTCGCATGAAGTGCAAAGTGACCCTGGTGACAGAGGAGTGACCTGGGAGCTTGTAGGCAGAGGTGTTGGTCGGTCCCACAGTAGCCACTTTAGCCAGGACAAAATGGAAACAAAGCATGTGACCTCGGGGGACCGTCCCCTTAGGTGGGTAGACCTACAAGAGGAAGGGCATCCAGTGTTCCCTGGCCATTAACCCCAAGGGCAAAGGACCTCAGCCAGCTTGGCCCATCACAGCCAGGCAAGTCCTGCCCAGCTCCTCAGGTGTGCTGGAAGGTGTGTTTGAGGGGAGGACCCCTCCTTTGGAATGTATCTACAAGTGCACAGCTTCACCCATCGCCTGGGCACGCCCAAGTCCAAGTACCAACATAGTCCAGGATGGCTGGCTGTGCTCATTGGATTGAGAACAAGGTCTTCCCTGGTGGAGACAGGCCAGACCCAGCCGGCTGGGATCAGTCTGTGAGTACCACCAACTCCCCATCACTCTTCTCTTCGCCCTCTGAGTCCTCATCCTCACTGTACCGGTACATCTCTCCATCGGCCACCGAGTGCCTGTCATCTGTTCCCTCCCCCTCCTCCCGGAGGCTGCAGGTGTTGACGATGACAGGCATGTTGGGGTCCAGGCCCTGGGGGACACAGTGCTCCACCAGTGGCTGTGCCAGGGGCATGCCTGATGCCCGAGGGAACAAGACGTCTGAGGAGCTCACCTGCGCCTGGCCAGCCTGCAGGCTGAGAGGTGGAGAAAAGGTGCAGTTACAGATGGACCCATGGGCCCTTCCCACCCCACCAGGTCTCCCAGGCATGTACTCCCATCCCAGCCTCTGTCTATATGATTCACACCCGGCCCCTGGGTGTGCTTTCTGGTGGCCAAATTCTATCCCCTAAGGCCACATCCAAGGCCATGGGTGTGTCTGGGAGGGTGGCATGTAAATTCCATTTGATTTCAGGAAATGGGTGTTCTTAACATCCCTGTCTATAAGAATCCACTAGAGTGCTTGCCATAGTCAAGTCAGGAGCCTTCCTAGAGGATGAACATTTTCAGTATGTTTGAATTTGGCCTGTGTTCCTTTGGTGCCCCACAACCACTCTGGGTCACATACCTAATTCTCAGTCACCAATGCTCTCTTCAGTCTCACACAGTCATTCTCCATCAGAAATCATGCACAGGCAGATGACATACATGTGCACCTGCACATAGATGCTCACAATTGGCACACACACACACACACACACACACACACACACCCTGTTCTATTCAAGAGCCAGCCATACATGAACCCCAGCCTCTCACAGCAAGCCACAAGCCGCCTCCGGCCACTGGGGAGGGCCTGCTCACGGGATGGCGTAGCTCTGGCGAGCACCCTGGCGCCGTGTCCTCATCAGGGCCTTGTACTCGCCCACACGCAACCTCCGGCCCTCCACAACACAGGTGCGCTTGGGCCTTGGCTTGTATTTGTAGTCAGGATACTTCTCCAGGTGCTGCCGGCTCAGACGTGCCTGCTCCTCATAGTACGGCTGCTTCTCCTGATTGGTCATAGACTTCCAGCGAGAGCCTGGCCCAGCCCCAGGCAAGCACTCAGAGCCAGGCTCTGCTGGGTCCCCTGAATCCCCAGGCCCTGGAAGCCCTGAGAGGATTCTGGGCCCCAGGTGACACACATGTGACAAATATTAAGCAAGGGCCTAACCCAATGTGGACACTCTGTGCATGCTGCACATGTGAATGGATGAGGCTGGCATGGACAGGTAATCAGCACCACTCTCATCCCAATGAACCCAGCTACCTGAGAGGCCTGTGGCCCCACAGGCATCAACAAAAGAGCAGCCATCCAGGCCACCAAGTATCAGGTGTCAGGCTGACATGTAGCTCAGTGGTAGAGCACTTGCCTAGCATCTGTCAGGCCCTGGGATGCATCCCCAGCACCACAAAGCCAAAATAAACCCCTGGTGTTTCAGACAAGAAACCTGCACTGTCACAGGAGGGGCTTAGCTTTGAAAACACCACCCTCAATCCAGCCTTGTCTGCCCTGCCCGGCCTCAGACATAACATGGCATTTAAAGTCTTTGTACTGAGTCCAGATCATCAATTTCCCTATTTACCACCACAGCATAGGTTAGGAAGACCCTGGGATGCAGGGTGGTAAGGAATGCACTAAGTTCTAAGGAGGGTGCAACCAAAAGCCTGTACTGGGACGACCCCATGATCCAGCTGCCCATCATACCCCACCCAACTCCTATATCCTGTAAGATTCCACCAGGGTCCACAGGACATGACATATTACCATGCAAACCCCAAGTAGACCCAGGGACCCTGTGAGCTACAGCCTGGGCCTTACCAAGTATCTTGCTGATGCTGGAGTTGTGCATGTCTGGGAAGGCTTGGAGGATCTTCCTCCGTTCATCCTTGGCCCACACCATGAAGGCATTCATGGGTCTCTTGATGTGGCTGCTGTTCCGGGACTCAGAGAAATGGCGGGATCCTAGGGAACGGGGTAGTCAGGCAGCCGGTCTGGGGATTGGCAGAGCAACATCCCTTGTATGGCCACCAGGTGGCGCTGAGGAAGCTTCCACAGAAGCCAGCTCAGGACCAGGAAGGTGAGTACTGAGAGAGTGGGTAGGAAGCCAAAGGGCCAGGAACATCAGGGGCCCACCATAGCCAGAGGGTAGGCACAGCACACAACCAGAGCTACAGGGTCTGGCAAAAGTAGACTTAATGATAGCCACACCAGGAACAATGGAGCATGCATGCTGAGAAGGACCCAAGAAAGGAGGGAGAGAAGGGATCAGAGACAGACATAGCCCTGGCAGGAGAAAGTGGTGCTCTGTCCAGTAGCCCAGTGCCCTCACCATCCATGTCACAGCTCAACATGGCTTCCTCCAAGGGATGCACACAGCTTTCCTCTAGCCGTTCCTTGGCTGGGGATGAGTCCAAGCTGATGATGTCCTGGGAGTGACAGAGACAACTTGTACCTCAGCACCTCCTGCCTGGGAGATGGCTCAGTGGGTAAAGTGCCTGCCTCAGCACCTCCTATATCACCTGGGCACAGGGACGTGTGAACGATACCTTGCGGAATGGGGTGTTGGGGGAGTTTTCCAAGGCCCCACTGTGGCTGTGCAGCAGCTGCCGAGCATCCTGGATGGCTTTAGTGACCGCATCCCCTTCACCAAGGAAGCCTATATTAGAAAGGGCAGAGGAGCTAGGACCCCATCCCTGGGGCAATCCATACTCCTTACACTTCTTGCCATGCTAGTCCTGAGAGTTCACTATGCTGGTGCTCTCCCCGTCCCTTCCCATATATTCTCATGGGACACCACCTACACAGACCACTGCCACCTATGATGGCTGTTGTGTAGTGATTATAGGTTGGGAATAAGGCAGGAGCCCTGGATCTGTGGCTCAGTGTCCCAAGCCTAAACCATCTAAAGTTAGATGTGCCCAGACAAATGGGATGTGAAGAGGAAGAAGGGCACCTTGCTGAACAAGCCCCTGGCTTTATAAAAGAGAGGCTATGATGGAACTCAGTAACAGACTGGTTCAGTCTCCAGCACTGTAAAAAAAAAAAATTTAAAACCTCAAAAAACTATAACTGAAAAACAGAAGGGACATATCCAAGATGGCATCTGATTCAACTGTTCCCTTAAGTAAGAGCAGTTGGAAAAGCTTACCCAGAGGCAGGCTGGGAGGGCTGGACTGCAGGTCCCTTGTGGGAGCCCCATGGCTGGAGGGGCGGGGTCCACAGTTGTTCACCTTCAGGCTTGGGGAGCTGGAAGTGTTCGGCAGCTCAGGCACCTTGGGCTTCGCTGTGAGGTTCAGGGGCTGGGAGGGCTCCTGGGGACCCAGAAAGAAAGTGAGGAACGCCTATGGAGACCCCCAATCAAAGGACAGGTAGGATGCAGGGGGGTGAGACAAGCACACATGCCCAGAGCAGACAGGAGGGAAAGAACGAGTGGGGAGAAGAGCTGAAGCCAGGGCAGGGGGCCCCAGACCACTGGTTGGCAGGGAGTGGTGTACCTGTAGGGGGTGATGGGCGGCCACAGCCCCAGGCCTCTTCACCACAGGGGCAGGGGGGCTGTGCAGCAGCTGCAGCGGGTACTCCACTGTAAAAAAAGCAGCAAGGGGCAGAGTCCTGGATGAGCCCAGAACAGCAGGCCCCGGCACCACACACTACTGGGCAGAGCCTGGAGCTAGCCCAACTTGTTCTCACCACTGACCTCAACAGGTCCAAGCACAAAGGACCATCCCCCTCCCGAATGTCTCCTGCAGGCTGATGGGCACATAGGCCCTGTGCTGCCCTTCTCAACCCACTCTAAAATGATTTCCAGGGTACGGGGGAGGGAGGGAACACTGCCTACTCATCCAATGCACACTTGGGCCATGTACCTGCTCTGTGTGGGGGACAAATTGAAGATACCTGCTGGGAGGCATGCCTCATGTGTATTCCACCTATAATAATACATGTGTATAAGAGGTGCTCAAAACATCAGTCTCACTCTACAGATAAAAAAAACAGATTCTGGAAGTTCAGTGGGTTGCCACAGAGCCATTACACAGAAGCACTGGGATTTGAAACCAGGTCCTCTAGACTTCAACTCATCCTTGGCCTCTACAGTTCTCTCCTCTACATACTCTACCTCACTAGGCCCAATATCAATGAGATGTGACAGTTCAGGCAGAGATAAGCCTGTGTACAAATCAGTAACCACATGGCAGATGATGATAAAGGCCCACAGGAGGTAAGTCAGGGTACTCTGTTCCAGCGAGGGGAGAGATGGGGTGACAGGGTGTGAGGACATGATATGGGTCATGAAGCTTGCTGCCAGGCAAGGTCAGTTCTGCAGCTGGAAGTTTGGACTAAGTGCCACGGATCACAGGCTATCATTTAAGGCTTGTGAAACAGCGATCAGAGGGGCTGGCTTTACACCTACCTACTCTCCTGGGGCAGCTACAGGAAGCATGCCTGCCCCGTCCCCAACTCTGTGTCTGCTGCCACCATCACTGGACTCACTAGGATTATCGCACAGCTGCCTATGGGATCCTGTTCCCTGTCAGTCCTACATTCCTGCTACCCACAACCAGAGACAACACATTCACTATTCAAATGTTCCAGTGCATCCTACTTCCCAGACTTCATGCTCCATCTCCAACAGTATCCCACACTCCTGTTAACTCATACCCACTGCTGCTCTTGGAGCCTCCTTTTTCTGAGCACCCTACCCTCAGCTCCAGACACTCCCCACCTTCCTTCCCCTTCTCCAGGACTCAGTCAAGTGCCACCTCCTCAGAAAGCCTCTCCAGACCCCCAAAGATCTCTAGGCTTTTCTCACTCCTAAAACTAAATTCTTCAAGATTAAAGTTCCTTTTTATCATCCCCACAGCTCACCAACAGTGACAGAACTACAGGGCTGTTGGGTCTGAGCAGGACAAGTGTGAACAAAGGGATGGTAGCTATTACAACTGGGGGACACCCAACGCTCAAAATTCAAGACATTAGCATTCTGAGATCAAACCAAACGGCTGTCACCATAGGTCTCGGGAGCACTCTGTGGTTTGCAGTACACTTTTCCTTTTCACTCTCAGAGAAGTTCAGAAAGAAAGACTCACTCTCCACTGATAGATCCTAAACCAAGGCCCACAGAGCAAACTAACGGACAAGAGTGGGTCTGGGCTCCTTCCCTGAACTTAGGTCAGCAGTCTCAGTGGTGGCCCCTGCCCTGCCCCACTCACCTGGTTTACAAGGGATGGGCTGAATGGGCAGAGCCAGCTGGGAGTCAGGGGTGACAGGCAGAGGCTGGTGGCTTGGGGGAAAAGCTGGGATCATGACATAAGGCATGTTAACCTGCTGAAGTAAAAAAAACTCAGCATGAGTCCCTGGGGGTCCAAAGAGCTGCCTAGGTGGAGTCAGCCTATGATCCAGGATGGGGCAGGGTCGTGCACAGGGCATAGGGTATGGACAGTCTTCCAAAGGATCCATCTGACCCCAGGCCATGTCTGTGAGCCTGTCTCCATGTCCTTGAGTCTGAGCTGGGGAGAATGACATTTTGGGGTCATCTATTAAAATACAGGACCTCAGGACAGGAGGGAACTAGAACAGAAACGCAGTCTTTTTGTCAGGCCTGAGTAGACCTGTTCTGTACCTGCTAGGAAACTCACCCTCCGCCTGCACCCCCTATCATCACCTGGATCTGCTGCTGGAGAAGGTTGATCTTGTGCTGCTGCTGAATCAGCTGTTGCTGCTGCTTGGCGATCTGATGAGGGAGAGTTGGCAAGGGCATCACACATGGCCCTGGCCCTCCAGCACCTGCCCAAGCCCTACCCCAACTTCCCCAGGAGTCCCACTAGAGAGCTTGGGGAGAACACCAACTCTCAGAACTTGGCCTCAGCTTGTGGGCCATCACCCTCCCCGTGGAGGACTCTGAGCCCTGGCCCTGGGTGGCACCTGCTCCTGTTGCTGCCGAGCCAGCTCCATCTGCTGCTGCTGCTTCTCAAACAACATGGCAGCCATGTTCTTCTGCTCGGAGTGGGCTGTCAGGAGCTGGTCCCGAAGGGCAGACAGTTGGTGGATCATGACCAGAAGCTGCAGCTCCTTCTCAGCCAGGCTCTCTTGGGTCCCTGTTCCACAGTGAAAAACCACCATGACCACCATGAAGAGTGTTTGTCAGTGCACATGTCCTACCTCCTATCCATTTGACATTTTCTACATCCCAGAATTCTGCCAGACTAGTTCTCAAATTCTCTGTACTTCTTTTTTAAAACAATTTATTTTTATGTGTATGAGTTAAGTTATGCCTACACGTATGTGAGTGAACTCATGTCATGAAATGCCCGTGGAGGCCAAAGGAGGGCATCAGATCCCCTGGAACTGAAGTTAACAGATGGTTGTTAGCCGCCACATGGGTGCTGGGAAGTGAACCTGGGTTCTCTGCAAGAGCGGTCAGTGCTCATAACTTCTGAGCCATCTCTCCTGCCCAACTTCTCTGTACTTTAGAGGGATTTTTTTAAAATTTTTAATTGTATTCAATTCAATTCAATTCTATCCTGTCCTATCCTATCCTATCCTATCCTTTGGGACAGGTCTCATTATGTAGCCCTGGCTGACCTAGAATTCACTATGTAGACCAGGCTGGCCTAGAACTCAGAGATCTACCTGCTGGGATCAAGGGTATGTGCCACTGTGCGCAGCCAATGGGATTTTTAATCCACAGATGGGCACAATAACAGTCACTTGACAGGATTAGTTTGATGATGAATAAGCTAACGTGGAAAGCTGTTATCTAGGATCTGTTAGCTTGCTTCCCTGGCCTCCAACCTTGCTGGCTGCTGTAGCATGTTATTCCTAAGAGCTAGGCTGGGGACAATTTACTTTCAGGGTGCTTTTGAAAATGCTGACACCTAGGACCCCATCCCTGTTCAGTAGGTAGGGGAGCTGGTACAGTGATGTAAAGCTCCCACTGTGGGTATAGTTGACCACACTGAGAAAATGACCACTCTGAGAAAGCCAGGCAGCAGTCCACAGTGCAGCCACAGAAGCCCAGATTCAACTATCAGCAGTGAGCTGGAACAACAAGCCTAAAGTGTCCCAAGAGTTACTGTTGACAGCCTAAATCTATCCTATAGGATCTGCTTCCAGCCCAGCCAGGCCTCTTCTACCTGGGGATTGGCCAGATTATTACTTGGAGACTCCCAGGTAAGGGCTGGTGATGAGTTCCCCAGGACAAAGTGGGAGCCAAGGGACACAAGACAGGTGTATAAGTGTACCAAAAACTGTCCTATACATGCAGAGTGGTTGGCCAGACCAGAAGAGAAAGGGGCTCAGACCACCCCTACACTCCCACTGTCTGCACGCAGGCCTGTACCTTTGACATCTTTGGTTTCCACAGAGCTCCTTCCCAGAAATCTATCCTTCCAGTCACTGGACAGCAGCTTCTCAATGGCTGGCACGACTGAAAGAAGGCAGGGTGAGTCAGGGTGAGATCCATCTGAAGGCCTCCCATCCAGGCCCTGCCTCTGACTGGACACCTTACCTTCCTGTAAGTTGCGATTGAAATCCAACCGCTCCTGGCTTCCTGAAGCTGCTTCAGAGGCTGCTGGTCTCTTGGGATCTGGGGACCCGCTGCTCTCTGGAGAGGCACAGTCCTGTAAGAAACTCTGAATTGTCACTGCCACTCCCAAGAAAGAAGCATATAATACAGGGATAGTTAAGTACCCAGAAGTGTCCTTTCTGAGGGACCCCAGATGCTATGGGCCCACCCTAAATTTGACCCAGCCTCATTCAGAAAACTGAAAAAACAAGAGTTCTGGGTTTCAGGCCAGGCTTGGTGACTCAGAAGCGGCTGGATCCCACACAAGTCCCTGCCCTCCATCCTGACAGTCAGGATTGTCACTGAAGCATATGAATGGGATCTAGGTCAGGAGCGGCCTGTAATGGCTAATCTTCATTGGATTTAGGAACACCATGGAAACACACCCCAAGTGTGTCTTCACTTAACTGAGCAGGGCAGACCCACCCTGAGGAAGTGGATCCTGGACTGCAGACATTGCTTTCTCTGCTCCTGACTGCAGATGCAATGTGACCAGCTGCCTCAAGCTTCTGCCATCATGCCTTCTGCACCATGAGGGCCTGTGCATTTGTACCGCCCCAGCCAGGCTGCTTACTCACAGGCACCCACCCTGGCCTCCCTAAGAAGCATTCCCTGGACCTAAGAAGGATTCCCTGTGGCCTGAGAGGTGACTCAGTGGTTAAGAGCAGAAGACAAGTTCCCAAATCAGGCAGCTCACAACTGCCTCTAACTCTAGTTCTAAGGGATCCAAATCCCTCCGGCCTCCACAGATACCTGCACCACATGTGGTGCACATAAACTTATGCAGATATACATATGTACACATACATAAAATAAATAAATAAATCTTGGGGCTGGAGAGATGGCTCAGCAGTTAAGAGTACTGGCTGTTCTTGCAGAAGACCTGAGTTTGAATCTCAGCACCCACATGGTGGCTAACAACTGTCCATAACTCCAGTTCCAGGGGATCCAACATCCTCTTCTGTCCTCTCTGGGTATTTTGTGACTCAGGTGCACTTATATACATGCAAGCATAACACACATACACATAAAATAAAAAATAAAAATAAATCTTTTTAAAAAGTATTCCCTGTCTCATCTTCTCAGACAAGCCTCCTGGTGCCTGAGGCCCACTATTTCATGAAGTGCTTCCTGTCACCCTTACCCCCACTCTTCCACACTGGGGTCCTCAGAGTCCCTGAACTCTCATTGTCATTCATTTGGTTCTTAATTATAATTCCCTTTTAACATCTTGTGTATGAAACAGAAGTTTTAAGAGCTGCAGAAGCCTTACAGACCATATACACCTGTGGGCACACATGTGTTCAGGTGCTTTTACATATGTGTAGGGGCTATGAAGGCCTGAAGTTGACAGGTATCTTCCTCTGCTACGCTCTACTTTATTTACTGAATCCAGAGCTCTCAGGTTCCAGCTACCTGAGCCAGCCACCTTGTTCCAAGGATTCCCCATCTCTGCCTCCAAGAGGCTGCTACACCTCCTTCACTTTTCCCTGGGTTCTAGGGATCCAAATTTCTGATCCTCACACTTGTGCAGCAAGTACTTTACCTGGAGTTGTCTCACCAGCCCCTAGTTCCCTCATCTTAAGGAAATTACATGGTCTTTTAACAGTGATTTTTCACTTTACGGGCTGAAGAGATGGCTCAGCAGTTAAGAGCACTGGCTGTTCTTGTGACCCGGGTTCGAATCCCAGGACTCACATGTCAGCTAACAACAGTCTGTAATTCCAGTTCTAGGGGATTGAACACCCTCGTCTGATCTCCTTGGGCACTGCATGACACAGGTGTACTTATACACATGCAGGTATAACACTCATATACAGAAAGTAAAAATAGTTAAAAAAGAAAAAAATGGTTTCACTCTAACGTAGACAATGAGACTGACTTTCTTAAATCATATGAAAATGGCTAGACTGCTTTTAAGCCAGACTTTCAGCACATGCATCCTGTCTCCCCCAACTAGTCCTCAGGAACAAGGACTGGGTCCCTCCAAGGAGCAGTCTCAAGTATGGACGGAAGGAACCTGGTCTGACAGGTGACCTGGCTTGCGACCCAGGCTGACTTTGACGATGCTCCCCTCCTGCTCATCTGAACTCACCATCTTGTCCCTCCAGAGACCATTCTGCACCCATACTATACAAGAACATGCCGGGCTGGTGGAGAGGGTACATCAGGTATGAGGCTACAGAAGTGAGGACATTGGCCCAGGGGTCCCAGGAAAGTGCTAGGCACCTGAGCAGGAGCTTGGGGGTTAGCGGCATCTTGAGGGTCCCGGGCTGGGTCTCCAGGCTGGGGCTCCACTGTAGTGGCTGTGCCTTGGGGGGCCTCATGGCAAGGCTCCTTCTTCTCTTCAGACTTAATAGTACAGTTCACCATGGTGCCGGCACTATCTGGGGCCAGCTGCACAGAGACAGGACTCCGCATGGACATCCTATGGGAAGAGAAACAAGAAGGAACTGAGATGAATGAGGTCCACAGCCCAGTTGTAAACCCACCCTGGAACTCACGGGGTGCCTCCATTCTTTGCTCCAGCACAAGTACCAGGGATCCCTCAAATACACACATGTCCAAAATAAGTCTACTTTGGGAAGCCACAGAAAAGTTAAAAGAGGCTCTTCCATTCCTCTGGCTTCCTTGTTCTTTATAGATCTAGAGATATTTGGGCCCACACTAGCACTCTCTGCCTCCTTTTTCTTTTGTAGTGCTGGGTGCTGAAGCCAGGGCCTTGCTCTTGCAGGGCAAACATTCTGCTTTTTGCAGTGTTGGGTCTGGTGAATTGAAGGACTCCCTTGAGGATGCCAGAGTTGGTTAACTTGCTGCTTCTGAGTCTGATAGAACTGAATACTGTGTGTGTGTATACATATGTATTATAACTCGTTACTAAAACTTAAAATCAAGAGACAGCACATAAGAATCTGGACCTGAATTCCCAATCCAACGACAAACGCTGGAGTTGTGTGAGTCCTCACATACAGGCCAGTCTGTCGTAGTCCCCACCCAACTGGCCAAAAGGACCCAGAATCAATGACCCAGTACAAGACATTCTTTTTTGTAGTGCTGAGGATTTAACCTAGGACATCCCACAAGCTAAGTGTTTGCTCTACCACTGAGCTACAACCTCAAGTCCTTATTCTCCTCATTGGAGGGACAAGTGAACGTGAAATACTTCTTAGATTAATGTATCTAACAAAAGTCGTACAAATAAAGAGAAATAGGGGAATGGCTCTCGGGAAAGTGTTCTGCTTTTTAGCTAGAGTCCCTGGCCGAGTCTAGTCTCTCCTGACATTGATACTTGCAGTCCTACGTTTTGTGGGGGGTTTTTTGGTTGGAGAGTTATTTATTTTAACTATGTGTATGTGTGTTTATCTGTGTGTGGGTATGTGCATGTGTGTGTGCAGATCCCTACAAAAGTCAGATCCCTGGAGCTGGAGTAAGAGGTGGTTTCAAGCCACCTGACATGGGTGCTGGGAACAGAAGTCAGGTCCTCTGCAAGAGCAGTCAGTGTTCTTAAGTGCTGAGCAATCTCTCCAGCCCCTTAGCTTTTTGTTGTTTTTCAAGACAGGGTTTCACTTAACTCAGGCTGGCACTGAACTCACTACACAGCTGAGGAAGGCCCTGAACTCCTGATTCTCCTGCCTCTACCTCCCAGGTGCTGGGATTACAGATTTGTGCCACTATGCCCGGCTTACAATGCCAAGAACTTCCTGAGAAGCAGCCTCCTCTCCTGCCACATCACTGCTTAGGACAACTAGAGGGTGAGCACCTGCAGGATCTAGGAGTAACTTCCCAAGGCCATGTGAGGCTTAAGGCCAGAGCAGCAGATGCCCACCCTCCCCAGTTCCTGAGAAAGCATACAGGGATGTCTCTGGGCTCCAGTGGCACACAAAGCAGGTTCCCATGAGTCATGAGCCTGCCTTCAGCTACTGGACCATTTCTTGCAACAGTCTTGGGAGATGGGGACTCATTAGAGAGGTTTAGGTCAGGAGCCCTGTGCCTTCACAAATGGATTAATGTCATTCTGAGTTGTTAGAAAAGCAAGTTTGCAATAGAGCTGAGTTGACTTGGACTCCCTTGCCCTTCTGCCTTCAGCCATAGGGTGACACAGCAAGAAGGCACTTGCCTTCCAAGCCACTACAACAGAAAGAAACAAACCTCTGTTCATCATCAATGACCTAGTCTGTGATAATTTGCTACAGCAGCACAAAATGGACTAAGATACATGAGGATTAAATCTTTAGGGGACATATAGGGGCAAAGATCAGGCACAGCCATGGATCCCTTAAACAGAAGGAGCAATATGATACACTAGTACCCCCTTATGGGGAGGTGGTCCAAGACACTCCCAAAGGATTCCTGAAGCCAAGGTGTTTCCTATGCGTACACACTCTCCACCTTAACTAAGCCCAGATGCCACACCAGAGCAATCATATTCGTAGTTTGAGTTGTAACAGCAAAGCGGGTATAAAATTCTTTTTCTTTCTGCACAGTACCACAGGCAGATGTCTTCTTACTATAGGTCCTACCAACTTTGGCATGCAACTCTTCCTACCCCCCACTGAGAAATGTCACCTTTTCATTGTGGTACTTCAGGCTTTGGCGCATCCCAGTTCCAGCACCCAACCCTCGCAGGCTGGGCCAGCGTTGAGTAAACTAAGGGTAACTTGAACATAAGCACTGCACTCACAACAGTCACACTGGATCTGAGAAGCAGATGTCACTAAGTGACACACATATTGTGTGGATACACTGGACAAAAGACGATCCACATGCCAGCATTCTGCTGAGAAACGCTATGAGGGATGAAGATATAGCTCAGTTGGTAGAGGCTTGCCCAGCATGCATGAAACTTTGGTTTCCATCCCCAGAACCACATAAAACTGGGTGTGGTGGTTCACACCCATAGTCCCAGCACTCAGGAGGTAGAGGAAGGAGGGTCAGGAGTTCAAGGTCATCCTTAGCTATAGTGCAAGTTCAAGGCCAGCCTGAGCCAAATGAGACCCTGCTTCAAAAACCCAAAACAAGGCCAGTCAGATGGTTCAGAGGGTAAATGTGCTTGCTGAGCAGAGGTGCAAGCCTGGCAATCTGAGTTCAATCTTTAGAACACCCACAAAGGCAGAGGAGAAAACCAACTGAGTTGTCCTGACCTTTACACATGCCCATCTACAAATATCATACACACAATAATAATCAGTTTAAAACAAAACAAAAAGCCTTATGAATTATTTACTCCTAGGATTTTCCATCTAATATTTTCAGATCACGGTGGACACCTGAAACCACGGAAAGTGAGACTACACATAGGGGCTACTGCATTTGAATAGTGCATCAGTCCTGTGAAGATGAATCTCTATATTGTTTTTTCTTGTAAGGTGTACTGAATCATATACTGTTACAGTCCCATACACAACAGAATACAGTGTTTTATGATTGATTAGGATATATACATATGAATTTGATTTGATTACATCCTACATATTAGACCACAGCAGACTCTCCAGCCCACCCACTTTCTGAGTGCGCGGTACCTTGGGGAACGGGTGCCAAACCAGAACAGGGTGCTACAGAATGAGAGAAAGCTAGCTGACCCTAATCAGACCCCTTCTCACCTGGATGAAGAGAAAAGAGACCCTAGCCCTGCCGGGCCTGGGAATCCTGGAGGAGCCAGGAGAACCTGCAGGAAGCAGGCAGCTCAGCCTATCCGGCTGGGGAGGGGCCAGGAGCCAGGCCCCGCAGGGGGCAGGAGGGGGGCAGGGGTATTATCCTGAAGCTGAGGGCAGCAATTACATAACAAACAAACCCGGGCTCAAGCTGTGAATTAATCAAACCGCTGAAAATAAAACCTTCCTCTCAGGAACTTCAGACAAAAGAAATGAAAACAACCAGGCTGGCTGGAAAATAAAAGCAGCAGTGCTGAAAGCAGGGACAAAAGGAAACCAGACAATAGAGTGTTGGACAAAGCAATAAAGCCAGAGGAAGTGTGACAGGCGCACAATGAGGGCCTGTGGGCTTCTGATCCCTAGGCTCTCAGCCACCTTATCCTGCACCCACTGGCTGCCACCAGGTCGGCTCCTCTGGCCAGACTCGGGTCCTAAGGGCTTTTCTCCTTAGTTTGGTCCCAGCTTCGCAGCTTCCAGCTCCTACCTCAGTCTTCCCACTGCAACCCTGAAACCCAAGCAGCAGTCACAGCCACAGACAGTCAGTCACAGGGAGCACAGGAGGTTCACTCCAAGGGCCAAATGCCACCCCGCTGGACAGGGTGATTACCCATCCATTCAGTGTAAGGTGGAGACAAGAGGTGATCACCGGTCCTGATTAAGTGTAGGGTTTACTGCCCAAGCCGCTGGCCTCATGTGGCTTACAGAGGCACTTGTAAGGCAGCCAGTCCAGGTAGGAATGTGATATATCAAACACACCAAGGTTCTGAAGAGTTGGCACACAGCTCAGAGGTAAATTTATGACAGGTTGTGGTTACAAACTGACCTATATAATAGGTTAAGATTCATTTCACCTCTTCAGGATCCTCCTGCCTTCATGTTTCTTTTTGTAGTTTTGTTTGTTTTTTTGGTGGTTATGTGGACTGAACCCAGGACCTCACACAGGCCAGCAAGCACTCTACCACTGAACTGCACCTCCAACCCTGTGTCTAGAACGCACATTATGCTTTGAGTTCCAGTGTTTCCCAGGGACAAGCGCGGTGCTCAGTCATCTCCTGAGCCTAAGCTTCTGGAGCCTTTTCTATTGCTCCCACCTCTAGCCAGTACCTGAGCCTGCACTATGAGTTATCCTGTTAGGGGCTACGTCTTGAAGCCCCCAGTACAGCCCTGATAACTAAGGAAAAGGCTCCTGGAGACATCCTGGCTGGCTTGGAGGTATCAGTCTGGCTTCCTCCAGTACCCTCAGGTAACCTTGCCACATCCTGTTGTCTGTAGCAGGGCACTTCCATATTTATAAGCACCTGGCTCAGAGGCATGGGGCAGAGATTGTGGCTGGTCTGCTCTGAGCCCACTTAAGGAAAGAGAGGCATAGCCTGAGCCCAGGATCCACACCTGGGGGTGCACCCCTGGGGAACCATGGTTCGGGGGCATCTCATTACCTATCTGTCTGGTCACCAGTATAGCCTGCCTGAGAAGAGCAGTGTCTTTCCCTGCCCTGTCATGACCTTGAAAGAAATACCATCCCTGTCTGCCACAGTGAAAAGAGATAAAATCTCCCAAGTAAGGCACCAGGCTTTGGAGTCCATTTCCTGCATGACCCAGTGGGAACACTGGCAGGTAACCTCTCTGCCATGCCTGTCCCTCACTATCCCCCAGACTGGTCACTAGTAACCCACATCTCACTGAAGTCTATGCGGGGTGAAGTAATGCACAGTGAGCATCCTATGTGAGTGTCAGTCATACGCCCAGACAGACTTGGGTATACCTGAGTCACAAC